TTAAAACAAACTAAATAAAGCCTACAGTTTCAATGATGACTCTGTGTGGTTTCATTAAAACTTACATTTTGACAGTTTCTCAGAAGGCCAACACTTCATAATTAATGAATGTTCAGCCAAAAGGTTGACCTTCTGAGTGACTGAATAAGTGCAAACTTACTAAGAAAAAAAATTGCTTTCCACTATTTATTGAAGCCTCAGAGCCGTTATCTTTTAAAATGAAAGTAAGTTCTGGAACCATGCCTAAGAAATTGGCTGTATATGGTAACATTTGAAAGTCCTTTTTACAATAAAAATTGGTGCTATCTACTTTATTTTATGCTATATTTAAAATAAGTGAAATTGTGAAAAGTTTCATCTAGCTCGATTGTTCGAGGCCTTCCTGAGATTGAACTCCCAGGCATATAAAGCCTAAGATACAGGGAACTTGTTATAAATGGCTCTGGCATTCATTTCCAATCTGAACTTTCAGAGCTTCTGCTAACAGATTGCTTCCTAATGTCTGGGATTGAGTCAGTTCATTTACTTAAAGGTTAGCATTAATGAGATCAAGGTCACAGGAGCAGCCTGCAGGGAATAAATGTTGAAGTCAAACAGACCCGAATTTGAATTCCAGTTCTGTCCCTCACTAGCAGAGTGATCTCAAATATGTTATCTAGCTTCCTGGTGGCTCAGTTTCTTCCTCTTTAAAATGGGAGAGTAGCACCTGTCTTTCGTGTTTGACATGAAATCGGTTAAACTTTAAATACCATTGAAATACCATTAAATACCATTGAAACACTAGGTTCAGGACCTAATACATAACGTTCCTTCAACAAATGTTAGTTGTGGTTTTATTTTTTTGTACTGGAAACACAACTCATTGTACAGATTGTGTATTCTACTTTATTTTGTAATCATTTTATAATTTAAATAGATTTAGGGGATTCAAGTATTTTTTTGCCACATGGTTGAACTGCGTGGTGGAGAAATATGGTCATTTAATATACCTGTCACCTGAATAGTGTTCATTGTACCAGTAGGTAATTTCTCATCCCGCATTCCCCTTCAGCTCTCCCCCAACTGAGTCTCCAACGTCTACATGACCATGTATGCATGACACATACCCATCGCTTATCTCCCACTTACAAAAGCATGTGGTATTTGGGGGTTTTGCTGCTGTTGTTGTTCCTGGGTTATTTCCCTTAGATTAATGAACACCAATTTCTTCCGAGTTGCTGCAAAAGACATTATTGTATTCTTGTTGGTGGCTGAGGAGTATTCTATCGTGTGTATGTATATGTGTTTATGTGTACATACACATGCATTTTTTTTAGTCTCCTCTGTTATTAGGCACTTAGCTTGGTTCCACATATTTGCACTTGTGAATTGTGCTGCAACAAACATAAGTGCAGGTGATATTTTTATGAAATATTAAGAACTTCCTTTTCTTTGGAAAGACTCAGTAGTGGGGCTGAAGGATCAAATGGTAGCTCTACTCTATTTCTTTGAAAAATCTCCATACTGTTTTCCATAGAGGTTGTACTAATTTACATCCCCACAAAGTGTGTGAATGTTCCCTTCTCACTGCATCAGTGCCAGCATCTGTTGTTCTTTGACTTTTTTGATAAGGGCTATTCTGAGAGGGATAAGGTAATATCTCACTGTGGTTTTAATTTGCATTTCCCAAATGATTAGTGATATTGATCATTTTCTCATGTGTTTGTTGGTCATTTGTTTCTCTCCTTTTGAAAAATGTCTGTCCATGTCTTTTGCCCACTTTTTATTGAGGTTTTTGTTTTTCTTGCTGATTTGAGTTCCTTATAAATGCAGGATGTTATTAAACCTTTCTCAATTTGTAGCTTCTGAATATTTTTTCCCATTCAGTAAGTTGTCTGTTTCCTCTGTGGATTATGTATTTTGCTGTACAGACAGATTTTAGTTTAATGAAGTCTCATTTATTTATTTTTGTTGTATCTGCTTTTGAGGTCTTAGCCATAAATTCTTTTTTTTTTTTTTTTGAAGTTTTTTGCCGGGGCTGGGTTTGAACCTGCCACCTCTGGCATAGGGGCGCAGCGCTCCACTCCTTTGAGCCACAGGTGCTGCCCAGCCATAAATTCTTTACCTAGGCCAATGTCAAGCAAATTCTTCCTAGGTTTCCTTCTAATATTTTTATGGTGTTAGGTCGTACATTTAAGACTTGCATCCATCTTGAGTGAATTTTTGTGTAAGTGTGAAATAGGAATCTAATTCATTCTTCTACATGAAGCTATTCGATTTTCCAGGGACCATTTACTACTTGGGGCGTCCTTTCCCCATTGTAGGCTTTTGTCTACTTTGTAAAATGTCAGTTGGTTGTGGGTATTTGGATTTATTTTTGGATTCCTATCCTGCTCCACTGGTCTATGTGTCTACCTTTATACCAACAGTACCATGCTGTTTGGATTACTATTGCCTTATAGTGTAATTTGAAGTCAGGTAACATAATGACACTATCTTTTTCCCCCTTTTTTAGAATTACTTGGCTTTCTGTTCTCTTTTTTGGTTCTATATCAATTTTAGAGTTCTTTTTTCTAATTTTATAAAAAACTATATTTATATTCTGATAAAAATTGCGTTGAATCTGTAGAATCAACAATATTGATTCTTCCACTCCATAAACGTGGGATACTTTTCCATTTGCTTGTGTCATCTATAATTTGTTTCACTATAGTTTTGTAGTTTCCTTTGTCGAGGTCTTCTAAATCTTTTGTTAAATATATTCTTAGAGTTTTTTTTGAGGGGGGGTAGGGGCAGCTATTACACATAAGATTAAGTCCTTGATTTGATTCTCAGTTTGGTTGTTATTAGCATATAAAAATGCTACTAATTTCTTATGTTAATTTTTTAACCTGGACTTTACTGAATTAATTATCAATTCTAGGGTTTTCTAGGTTTAAGATCATATTGTCAGCAAACAGGTGTAGTTTCACTTTCTCTTGTCCAATTTGGGTGCCCTTTGCTTCTTTCTCCTGCCTGATTGTTCTGGCTAGGACTTCCACTGCTGTGTGGAATAGGAGTGATGTGAGTGAGCATCCTGGCCTTGCTTCAACTCGTAGTGGAAATGATTTCAACTTTACCCAATTAAGTTGAAACTTGAATTGTTGTCATAAGAGAGCATCTCAGCCCCCGAGCTGATTTACAGATCTTCTAAGCTGGTTCACAGGCCCAAATCTCTAAGTGAGTAGGAGACCAGGTTCTTTACAGAAGAATCTGCATCACTTCCAGAAGCACATACTCTATGAGAAAGGGAAAATGAGGACTTTCTGGAATTACTAGACACTGGCTTTAAACTAATGCTAACCTAACATTTACATGTCCAAACTAAACTACTAATCTATCCTTCTCCGCAAATCTGCTCTGCCTTTGTCTCTCTTTGAGTAGATCCTTCCCCAAATTAGCACCCTTCCATTTGCTCAGTCTAAAAGCTTGGGATAATCTTTGAGATGTCTCCTTCTCTCATTCCACGTCTTATCCATCAGCAGCATCTGTTCACTGTATGGAATACACCCAGATTTGGAGCACTGTCTCCTGGTTCACACCTAGTGTGCTGGTCCATGTCACTGTCATCTCTCACCTGGATTACTGGAGTAGATTCTAAAAGCATGTCTCCCCTCTTCTAACCATGCCCCCATAGTCTATTCTCAACACAACAGCTAGATCAATCCTTTTAAAAAACATCCCATGACACTTCTCTACCTGAAACTCTGAAAAAGGCTCCTAATTTCACTTGTGGAGAAAATTATTCATCAAGGGCAACTCAATATTATGATCTTTATCTTCCCAAGAAGTTACATAACCAACTTTGCTAAACCTCGCCATTATCTTTCCTTAATTTTTCATATATATATATATATATATATATCCCCTCCCCCAACTTGCTTTCCCTAGAAGCTCAAAGTCCTTTTCCATTGTCTTATTACCTGTCTACAAAATTTATAATAAATTTTTGTCAAGATACTATGGAGATATAAACTCAATTTCTAACCACCACTTAGAATTACTCATCATTGAGTATTCCCAAGTGCATGTGCCATGTTCACATTAATAGACTTCTGTTTTATTCATGTTCATCCTTCTTTTGTTGTTTAGATTTGCAGGCCATAGCTGCTGAACCTAGAATGAGTAAATGAAAAATCATTGTTTTCTCTGCTACGATTGCCAAGACTATGGTTTTCCATGAAGACAATTGGCTAACGGTTTATGTGTTTATGGACATGTTTTCACTTGCTCAGTAATTCATTCATTTATTTAACTAATGTTTAGTGAATGATTACTATTTGCATGATAACCTGATAGGGTAAGATTATGAATTCACCATCCACTTTTTCCTTGAAGCGTTTTCTCCTTTGTAGGGAAGACAAAGCATGTGTGTAAATAGAAAAATGATCTAAATTACATGAATGAGAGTATACATGAGATCTAAGGGGAGAGAAGATTTCATTTTAGCCAGGCAGATGGCAATGAAGGAAGGGAAATCAAGAAAATCTGGGAGGAGCTGGCACGATTTAGCTGGAGTTTAAACACCTGTATATTGGACAGAAGGGACTTTCTGGCTACAGAAATGGTACTATATATGAATACAGTTTCAAAAAAGCAAGAAAGTTGATACAATTTGAATATACAGTTTCGTTTACGAAAGAGACAAATGGGAAATGTATTATAAAAATGAGACTATCAGACTGAGAGGACTCTGGATGTCCTACTAAGAAATTTTGGTCTTTATTTTCTAGACCAGCAGTTCTCAACCTGTGGGTCGCAACCCCTTTTTAACAATGAAAATACATTGCAGAATTAGGAAGGTTGAGAACCAGTGTTCTATGCAAAAACAAAACATTGAGTGTTTTGGATAAAGGAGATGAAAGAAGTTTGTGCTTCAGGATAACTCCTGATGATGGGGGGGGGGGCGTAAACTGAATTTTCATGGGCAGAGGCCCCTGAATGAAGTCCCTAACTAAGATCTCTTTCTCTTTTTCTCCCAGGCTGCTGATGTGCTGCTGCAGCATGGAGCGAATGTCAACATTCAGGACGCGGTTTTCTTTACTCCACTGCACATTGCAGCATTCTACGGGCATGAACAGGTAGGTCGGGGTAGGGGGGCACTTAAGTATGCCAGGCTTTTGTTGAACTGTCCTACCTTCAGAGAAAGCACATTTAAGATATCTTTGGAATTATTTTTGCCATATTCTCATCAGCTGCCTCCTTGGGGAGCTTGTAGATCCATGTAAGTATTATAGCTGTCAAGCTCTTCATTTTTACTGACTATCTTAGTGCACAAAGGAGAGAGCAGAATACGCTGGTGAGTGTGTGGCCAGAGGAACCAGTCAGTGTAACCGTGAACACTTCCCAGCTTTGTGGCCATGGGTAGGCTATGCAATCCCTCTGATCTTCATTTCTTCATCTATAAAATGGGGGGAACTATTGACAGTTCCTACAGCCGGGGCTGCTGTTAGGATGAGATATATTGTTTAGCAAATGCTCAGCAAAGGTCGCTGTTCACGCCAATGACAGTAACAATAAAACAACTCATAAACTTTCTATAAAAAACAAATGCTGAATGTGTTTTCATTATATAATTCATTTAAAATATATAATTATTTAACCGAAACATTTTTATAAAGCTGAATATTCTGTAATAAAGGAAAAGTACATAGAGAATGAAATTTTTTGAAGTATTATCATTTGATATATAATTTTATTTAAAATTAATCAGTTTCCATGTGAGTGAGTTCATACAATAGGCAAGCATTATGCTAAAACCCTTATTTTGTTTTCTGAATTTTGCCCAACTCTAAATTAGCTGTTATTTGCTCCCTCTTATCAATGAGGCACACATGAAGATCAGTAATATCGTGCAGCTAATAAATTGAAGAGCTGGAATATGTATTCAGAAATATCTTATCCCAAAGCCCATATTTATTCTGTTAAACCAAATGCCTCATCTTATTCCTCTTTAATCAGCGAGACAAATCATGAAGTCTTTGCACTTTGTCTAAGTGGACAAGCCAGAATTCTAGGCACCATATTCTAACCCGCAAAGTCCTTTGATTTTCAAACATAACATATTGAAAGAAAAAAATTTGTCTGTGTTACTTTAAAACACTTACCCTTTGGCTATTATAAAGAACTGAAAAGAATCAAATGGAATAGAAATACAGATGTAATTGGAAACCTAAGCGTAACTATCCTTTGCATGCCCCCATGTTTACTCTTCCTCATGTTATCTCTCCAGCGTTATTCCAGTTATGAAGTAGAATTATACCTTTTTTTACCTGCCTGGAGGCCATGCCACAGAACCACCTAAGGGTCTCGAGTTGCATGTCAAACTCACTTGTTCCCCTCTGCTGTTCCAGTCTCTGTGCCTTTATTTCTCTGCTAGCTGACATACGCTCAGACATTCTCAGACCTGCGAAGCGTGACCCTAGGTAGGAAAGAATGCTTATTTCATTGATGTGCTGCCCGGAGTGCCCTGGAGAGCTAGGCACTGAAAATGCTTTTGAAAGCATAGGCCCCAAAGCACAGGAGATGGGAAAATTCCATACTTGTCTGCCTTCAGGCAGAAACAGGATATGTACAATGCATGTTATTTGTAGAGTCATCCTCTTTGGCGATTAGCCCCATCACCCAGCAGAAACATAAAGAGCCTCTATGTGTGTTGGATGAAGAACTAAATTTGTTTACTTTTCCTGAAAATATAGTCACAGTCTTATAAAATTATGCTAAAGTGTGGATGGTCCTTTTATGATAAGGGGCTCACTTTCTGTGTGTGAAGGGAGCACGTAAGTAATTTATGGAAGCTATTGTCATTTGCTAAAATATGCTGACAGGGAGAATGGTATATTCGATATATGAATGTGCCTAATGTGCCATGTTCCCTGCCATTTGTTTATTTACTTATTTTTAAGTGGGAGAGTAGATGTTTTGTACCCAGAGCAATATTTCCTAGGTATGTAATAATAGTGCTTAATAGACAATCGATTTCAGAGCTAGTTTAAATCTGTCTACTATAAAGTCACATAATCAGAATTTATGGAGTCTGTGTAAGTGGAAATATCTGCTTAGAGTGCAAGGTTCTCAAGAGTAAACTTCTGCTGTTCTGGTTTCTCCTGAATTTAGTGCTGATCTGCCCATTAGCCAACAAAGATATAAAACACACCTGCTCCACCGTGGGGCCACCACTTTACTAACAGTTATTGTGTGGGGGGCTCTTTGCTAATGCTTTACATGTAGTGACTTATTCAATCCTACAATAACTCTACGAGGTAGAGCTTTTATTATTACCACCTTAGCAATGCAGAAACTGAAGTATCAAAAGGTTAAGTAATTTGTTCACAGTGATGTAGCAAGTAAGCAGAGCCTGATTCCAACCTTTTGCTTTTGTCTCCTGTACTCTATAGGAAATCAATTTCCCCATATCTCATCTGGCTGATATTTTGCCTGGAATTCATATAAAATATCTAACATATTCTTGAAGGGTTTCTACCCAAGACATATTTGTTTGATCACTCATAGGAAGTACAAATAATTTGGGAGCTTGGATTCACTGTTGTGTTGAGACTTCCGTGGTCAGGACAAATGAGGGGGGTCCTCCCCTGACTGCAATTTTAATAACTCAGGGGCATCCTAACATACCTTTAAGATTAGTGGGGTGACTTTTGAAGTTCTCAGGGGAGGCATCATCAAGTTTAGATAAATTATGTGGAAAGTTCCTCAGTATATATGTAAGTAACTCAAAGAATCCCATAAATTACTAGAAATAATCCCAGGAAGACATCTAAGTGCTTCATTCCTTCATCCCCTTCTGTCCTTTCGGATATAGAGGCTCAGCTAATTGGGGGAGATGCCAGTGCTACTGCGGCCATCTCCCATTCACTTACACATTCAGAAAAGGACTGCCAACTCCAGTAGCAAAATGACCACTGGTGGTCAATGTTTGGAGCAGCCATGAAAATAAAAAAATCAGGTAAATTATTGCTGCGTCAGGACATAGAAAACTTCAGAAAAAGTTTCAGTGTTCAGAGAAGATTATGTGTCACTTTAGAGGGAATTATTTATGTACAATGAAGACCTATATTATGAAACTGATGAGAGAGTTGATATAAAAGAAAGGAAAGGCAAAAGTAGGTTTTCAAAGCCAAAACATGTAGAGATAATTTTTTTTTTAACTTTTTCAAAGCTCCCTCATATCTCATCTAGTCTTCACAATAATGCTGAAACAGGAATGGTGAACACTATTATTTCATCTCACCAATAAAAATGAAAAAGAACATAAATAACATTAACTAAACATATATGACAGCCTTTGTGCTATGCATTTCATCAAATTATTATTTCACTTGATCTTCACAAAAACCATGAGTTAAGTCACATAATATGATTCCCCGTTGAAAATATGAAGAAACTTAAGTTTACATAAGTTAACTAATAATTTTCTCAAGGTCATGCTGCTGATAGAAATCAGATTCTAGAATCAAACCTAGTCCTATCTTACTCTGGTTCTTAATTCTTAATCAGTATACCATGTATAGCCCTTCAAATTAAAAAATTAATCACTTATTATGAGGTTAGTAGTAGGCACATTGGTTGCATAGGCAAAGCTTGTCATTCCAATACTGCCATTCATGCCATATGTTTCTCCTTGCTTGAAGACTTGTGGTCCAGAAGTTGTACTTTGAAAATTGTCTCCACATCCCCAGCCCCTGTGTGTTAGACCTTGAGTAGTTGAAGCCACTCACAGTAATTCTTTCTCCCTGCCCAAGGACTGCTTTAGAAAGCTGCAAATGACCTAGTCCAGGCCAAAGAGATATGGGAGGGTGATTTCTGGAGATATTTTCGGAAGGAGTTCCTACATTTAGAAACAAACAAAAGAAAAAATAGTATCTTTTCCCAAAAGTTAGAGGTAGTCCTTAACTCTACTCTGTGGAGTTTGGTTTGTAAATGCCTGGAACAGCCGCTGCTGTCTTGCTACCATGAGGAAATATGTCTTACTGAGCATGACAGAACAGAATAATGGAGAGAACTTGAGTTCTGAGAATGTTATTAGTCTATTGTATTCGTGAACCCTGAAATCTCTTCAGTTTTAGACTCCTTGTTAGGTTACATATCAATAATTCCTTATTGGTTAAACCCATTGAAATTATGATGTTCTGTTATTTGCAGATGAAAATAATCTAAAAGCAGGCCACTTAAATCAGTGTTCTTCTATACTGCTGAAAGCTTCACATTATTGTTTGCCTTTTTATGCTAATTTCAAATGAATGGATTCATTAGGTGACCCGCCTCCTCTTGAAATTCGGTGCTGATGTAAATGTAAGTGGTGAAGTTGGAGATAGGCCCCTCCACCTGGCATCCGCAAAAGGATTCCTAACTATTGCAAAACTCTTGATGGAAGAAGGCAACAAAGCAGATGGTAAGATTGCATATTGAAAAGACCTTTGGATCATGTGCTGTATGTATACTCTTTACTTATGCTTCCTTTACTTACTAAAGGATAATCTTGAAGTTGATTAATTCTGTGGTGAGGTACTCATTTGGTACACAAGTTATAATTCATTATTTTTAACATATTTATCTAAGCTGTGTGTGAATCCTTCTTTATGTACTTTAGCTCAATTCTTAATACATTTGGCGCTTTAGTGAGCATAAGAAATTTTCTTAAAGAAGTAGTTCTAGATGTTGTTATTCATTAATATTTATCTTTAAATTGAGATATAATTACCAATCAGCAAATTCTTAAATCTTAAGTGTACAGATTGACAAATATTTTTATACGTATGTTCCACGTAAAAACCATCCAAATCAGAATTTGTAATATTTCATCAGTCTGGAATGCTCCTTTCAGCCCTATTTCAGTCCATAGCCTTTGCTATCCAAGAGAATCAATATTCTGGCATAGATTGGTTTTGTTTGTTTTTGAAGTTCACAAAATTTTGTGACTGGCATCTTTTCCTGACAAGATGATTTTAGCATTTATAAATGTTGTTCTAAGAATCATAGTTCGTTCTTATATAATACTGTTGACGATTTCATGGATATACTGAAATTTGTATGTCCATTCTCCCCCTAATGGACACTTTAATATTTTCAGTGTTGCTCTCTTAATAAATACAATTGCCAGCAGAATTCTCACTCAAGTTTTTTGTGGACATTTCTCTTGAGTGTGTATATATGAGTGAAATTGCTAGATCAAAGGACAATATGCATATTTAATTTTTTAGGGACTTTCCAGTTTTCCAAAGTAATATGATAGCAATATATGAGAATTTCAGTTGCTCCCCATAGCATCCCAAACCTTTGATGATGTATTACTATATTTTAAAATAGAAATAAGAGTGTCATCAATTTAGAAAAAAAAGCTTTAAGATACATGGAAGGACTTTATAATCCATAATAGAATATAATTTCCCATACATTTTTAAATTCCAAAATGAATTTTAGAAAGTTTGATTAAAAATAGAGTATAGAAAAATTTCATTCTTCCACTTTTCTTCAAAAACTTTATTTTTTGACACAAATTCACTCAGAGTTACAACTTGCCATTAAATTCTCTCAGGCATATCCAACATTCTTCTGTTGACCCCCAAGAGACCTAATTAAAAGCCAAGCTGTAAGAGTTGCTGGCCTTTGTAGCAGAAACAATACACATTTCCAAAAGGACATGGTTGTCAAATCTCTGGAACTACCAGTTCCTTGGTCCAAAATTCACACTGATATTTAGTTAATAAAGCTAATCAATGTTTTCAACTGCCCATAAGGAGAATATAAAGGATCCTAGAGACAGCTGTGGCAAGAGGCTAGGGCAATTTCCAGTTTCCAAGTTAGAAAGAGGGGCTGCTTTACTTTGTAAAATCTCAGAAACACAGTTTGTATCGTTTCCTATAACCCAATGTGCAATGACTCACACGTCTACTTTCTGGCATTATTATAAACAACCCGGGCTATCAGGGTGTAGGAAGCGCGGCTCCTTGCACTTTATTTAAGCAGTCTCTTTCATTCTGTTAGTTTAAAATAGGTAGAGGTGCACTCGTGTGAACCACCAAACACATAATTGTGTTTCTGAAACTGCCTCACTTTTCCAAGGGGTCAGGAACCACATCACTTTTTCTTTTTATTATTGATGCCAACCTTGGCTTTTTATTCCTGTGCACAACTCCAAAGCTCTGTAGTGTCAAAATGAGCATCATTAATGATCAGCATGTCTCTAGGATCAAAGGATTCTTCTGCAAAATGCATTGAAATGTGTCCTACTCCTGTATCCCCCTTCCTTACCAGCATCAGATGATATAATTTCTAATATTTTCTCTCTGACTCACGAGTTCTTCATGCCTCCTACTCAATCATTTTTAAAAAATCAAGAGACAGCATGAGTCATATTTTTAAGTATTTTTATTTCCTTCTAGTGCATGCTTGATATTTAAGTCCCATTTGCACTTCAACCATTTGCAAAATATAAACCAGAAGATCTGCTTTGCTGACGGATGCTGCAAAGGCCTTATTAGCAGTTAGTTCACTTATTTCTAAATGTGGCTAAGGCTGGAGATGATTTATTTTAGATGTAGACCCTGCCTGTGGTAAATGGACAGAGGGGAAGATTAAATGAATGAGCCCCAAAGGAGTACAATTTACAGTATGTTTCCATGGTAACAGAATGTCACAAATGAAAATAAATTTAGGTGACGGAATTACCCGAAATGTAATTCTGAAGGCAGTCTTTCCACTTTAGCGTGTTTGGGAGGCTGACCTATTTGGTCAGGTATGTTTTAAGTCTCTGGTCTCTTCTTTGTTCTGTCTTAGGTCAATGAAAAGGGAGAAATGTATTGAACGAGATTCAAAAGGTTAAAATATTGCTGAACCACATGAGAAAAAATAGCAATCCAGTCCTCAAAATATATAATTTTGATAGTGTTAAAAATGGAAAGTTTAAATTCAGAATTTATTAATTTTTGTCACTTGTTTCTTTAATGCTATAGTTCTTTTAGATAACACTATTTTTTAACATGGACGTGGACATTATAGAAAGCCACAAAAATTTCCTACGGCATGCCAAGTCACAGGCCGTGTTTTAAGTGTTAAAATACATCCTGTTGGAGCTACTGCACAGATTTGTCATTGAAAGTTTATTGAAGACATGTTTGGGAATTATTTTAAAGATCCCTGGGATCTTCTGACATTACTCGGTTAGTCTGGAAATTTTTACTTTATAGTTAAGTTCAGTAACAGAAATACAGAAACAGCAGCATCTTCCCGCTCACCCATTCGTCCGATCTTTCTTTCAAAGACATTACTGAACACTTACTCTCTTCAAAGTAGATGACAAGGCGCTAAATATTTTTGTAATAATTTACATGTATCTCTTTGTTTGAAATTCTCTTTCATAAGTCTCTCCGTAAGACGTTAAGTCAGAGCCAATAGAATATTGTTCATGCCTTAAATTTTCCTAAAATAAGATATAATAATATACATTATTTTATCTTTGCAAATTGGTCCAAAACAAAACTATGTAGTTCCCAAAGACTGAAATAGAAACAGGGATATACACATAAGCTCTTCTTCTGATCCCAGACGTCTGCTGGCTTGTCCCTTCCATTACTATTTGTATCTTTTTTGGTGGGGATGATGCCTAGGCCACTGCAGGTAATTCATCCAGGAGAGATAACCTACCCTGAAGTTCATTGATTCAGTTGGAGAAGAATAGTGTTGGGTGGGGCCCTAGATGACCACAGGCAAGTTATTAATTAATGACTGTTGCTCCACATGCTGCCTTACGATTTACCTCCTGAACCTCAAGAACTCCTCTGTGACTTTATTGATCTCCCTGACTCCCAACAATTCTCCAGCATTGACGTGCGGCATTGACTTTTCCTGGTTTAGAAAAGAATAGGAACAAAGGAAAAGGTTTACAAAAAGGCAGATAATCAAAAGGACCAGGCACATTCTTCTGAATGGAGGATGCCTTTCTAAGCTGCTGATTAATATAAAAGATTCAAAAATTTATTTTTCATTTTTCATTAATAGCCTTGAGACAAGAAACTTAATGACTTTGTTAAAGATTTTTCCTTGGCTTAAAATCATGAAGAACAGAAAAACGAGAATGGGTGTCTACAAATAGCGTGACTACAGGACTGAAATCAGCATTCCCTGGTTGCTAAATGATGATTATAACAACAGTAGTGAATTTTTCCTATTCTTCATCATTTAAAACAAACAAACAAACAACTGTTCCTTTCCTTCAGTGAGAGTGAGAGTGACTGTGAGAGTGAGAGTGAGAGTGACTGTATGTGAGTTGAGAGTGACTGGGGTTTATTAGTGTCTACTATTTTCCGTTTCGAATAAAGTACCCTGTACAGAATGGCAAAGTAATCAAATACATAGAGCAAATGGCTTCAGAGCACTTCATGCAATTATTTTAGTTTAAAAATTGAGTTAAAGTCAGATTCAAAATTAAGCAGTTTGGTTTTCAGTTGTTATTACTTTAGGTTTATAATTAGTGACTATTAACCAGACGGTAAGAAATTTGAGGGTATGGAATCTATGCATTTATAGATTATTGGTCTTAGGACTTAGGAAATGTATAAGAGGGAAATTAGTAAAAAGGTAGAGTAACTCTAAAAAATGTCTAATATGTGATTGGTCTTGTGCTACCACTGGAAATTGCTTTGCGATTCTATCTCCTTTAATCCTTGCAACATCCTTGGGACAGTGGTGTTATTATATCCACTGTCAATGACAAGACATCAGGACCTCCAACATTAGCTTAGTGTCTCGTGCAAAGTGATCCTTTCATAAATGAGAACATATCAGTCAAGTCATCTTACTTTCAAGAATTGGAAACTAACTCTTGCTAATGTAAGAATAAATGAAATATATCAGAGGGTATCAATTAGCACACAGAATCTTCCCTGGGACAGGTTTAGAAAGCCAGGTTTAGAACACTCACCATGAGGAACAACATCCCGTGGGTGGCCGGGATGTGGTCCCCGAAGACGTGCTGCCCCCTGCTGGGAACACATCACACTATGCTTCTGGTGCCCGCAGCACCGAGTCTGTGGCTGGAATTGCTACCACTGGAAACTGGGCAGAGCGGCTGCCACCTTGCCATGTTGCCACGATAGAGTAAGCCCTACTTTTGTGTTACCAGTTCTTAAGTCAAAGCCTAATGTGGTATGTGGAAAGAGGAGTCTATAGATTGGTGTCCAAACTAAGGAACTGTTGAAAGTGAACATGTCACCTTGCGAATTATCCCAGAAGAACAAGCCTAACAAGACTTATGGTCACATTTGCTAATTCTGTGCCCTGACTGCAAAGAGATCATGGGAAGTCCATTTTCAGTTTCTGTGAGAAAATATGGTCTTGGGTTCTCATCAGTACTTGCAGTATAGGGAATTACCCAGAAGAGGTCATAAGGCTGGATAGTCTAAAGAGAAGAACAAATGTCTACTACTGAGTGAAGAATTGGATTTTAAGTAACCTGTAATACAATTAATGAGACCGTCCTAACGCTGAAGGGCTTTTCCTCTTCATTACAGCATGCTTTGCGTACTGTAGTACAGCAGTGCTCAGCTAAGGGCACACATCAGAACCTCCGAAACAGTGTTGTAAAGTTAGTGATTTCAGGGTCCCAACAAGAGACTGAACCAAAATCTCTAGGAATGGTGCTCTGACCAGGATCTGTGATTATGAACATCTTTCAGAGGGAAAAAAAAAGTCAATTTGAAAGGCGATACTTGTATAATAATCTTTTGGATGCTTATTAGTTTCCTGAACTATTCCATTGTGCGAGGTAGATTTGATTAGCTGGGTTCCATATAATTTAGAGGAGCTAGAAACAAAGCGAACAGAGAATGGAATAGAACTATAATTTTTTTAATTGGTTGCACCTAATTTCCTTTATTATTATAATTAATGGGCGATCTCCAGGAGTCTCTCAGGCACTTAAAAATGTCCGTGGTGCTTCACAAATGAAAGATGAGAAACAAAAGGTTCCAGAGAACGTGTCTTTTTTTTTTTCCTCTTGCTGTTGACAGTGAATGCGCAGGATAATGAAGACCATGTCCCACTCCATTTCTGTTCTCGATTTGGACACCATGATATTGTGAAATACTTGCTCCAAAGTGACCTGGAAGTTCATCCCCATGTAGTTAACATCTATGGAGACACCCCTTTGCACCTGTGAGTATGATGTAGCGTTCCGTAGATCTTCAGATACACTACATTTACCCTCTTACTATTAACAAACATTTTCTTCAAATCTAGGGCATGCTACAGTGGCAAATTTGAAGTTGCCAAGGAAATAATCCAAATTTCAGGAACAGAAAGTCTGACTAAGGAAAACATCTTCAGTGAAACAGCTTTTCACAGGTAAAAGAATATTTAAGTGCAATAGCCACTAACATAGCTGACACCTTATGGCACCTGAAGTTGTGTACAGAAAGCAGAACAAATAGTGGCAGATGTTGCCATCAGAGCTCGATAGCAGACGTAGAGCAAAGGACAGGAGCCTGACTAGATGCACAGAAGAAAAGGCGGAGGCAGGTGCTGCAGGCAGCACAGCAGATGGGGCCGGAGCCAGATGCTGCGTCCCTGGCAGCAGCCACAAAGACAGGACTGATGTTGCCACGGCAACAGGCAGCTCAACATCTGTAAGCACACTGCTTCTATTCCTCCTCACTCTGTGGAAAGCTGCCAACAAGGGCTGTGCCCATAATCCTCCTCCAACAAGAATCTCATTACTAGAATTCATCAGCAGCAAATGTGACACTTTTTTCCTTACCACTTAAACCTTATGTGCAAATGTGTCTACCTATCTAAGATAGCCATCTGTCAGCCTGTAAAAGCCTAGTCAGGGTGGCCACTCAGGTACCGTATGTAGGATGGCTTTAGGTCTTTTCTACGAATCCAGGAGGGCCTTTTACAGTGAGCTCCAGGAAAACACGTTGAAGGAGCATCTGGGATTGGAAATGTTGCAATTAAAGAAAAGAAAAAGAAAAGAAAAAGCTAGCTAATAATTGAAAGCCATAGTTTTTTTTTAAATGTCCAAAAGCAAAGGGAATATTTTATAAAATTTAAAATCCTCATTTTTAATGGGTTACTACTTTCTTGTGGATATGAAAGCATATTAGTTAAATTTAGTAAATCTTGAATACAGGATCATTCAGCCATGCATTCCGTTTCTTAGCTATTTGAAACCTCTACAAAGTGTATTTGAGACTAACTTGTTGTTTACATGGTGTTTATATTGCCCGAGTAAGAGAAATGAGGAGACTCTTCTTCATACTGAACTGAAATTAAGCTTATACTTCTGCATTAGGCACAAATGTGTCAGATTTCACCTTGATTTCCAGATTTTTCTTATCAACCACGAAGGGCAACCAAAAGGGAGGTGAAGAAAAAAAACACCTTTTATGAAATGGTGACTCTATGCATTGATTGGCAGTCATTATCTCATTTAATCCTTAGAACCATTTTTATGAAGCTGGATTTATTATCTCTTTTTACAGATGAGAAAGTGGAGGTTCAGGGTAGCCAAGGAACTTGCCAAAGTTTCTTACGGCAGAAAATAATGGAGTAAATTCCTGACTAATCCCAAATCCTGTGCTTTTCATATATTTTCATATTCTGCTCCCAAAATATTTTGTCTGTTTTCCACACACTCAGCACCAGAACAAATACAAGAACTCTCCAGATCAAACCTTCAGCCCATGCGCAGTCTGTCCCTGGAGGGCCAGTTGGCAGAAATGACACGTACTGGTTGCTGGCATGCTCTTTCTTTGCTAGGTCATGCCTGTTGCTGATCCCTCAGGCTAGTTTTCAAATCATTTTGCTACTTTGTGCAATAAAGTCGGAACCATCTGCAATCAGAAGGTGACTGTCACCTCCAGAAGAATGTCTAGATGAGAAGTGTTGTGAAGAGTTCACAGTATAAACTGAATTGTTTTATTTTATGCAAGCCTGTGGCCACTAGGAATAACAGATTGATATTTTTATTTATCCATTTTAAGAACTTACATATAAAAGAAACTCCCTCTACATGAGGAATTCATCTGAATAAAAATTTCTGCATGTGTAAATCACACTTACCACTTTGCACATAGTAAGTACTCAATGCACTTCTGTTATTGTTTTCGTGTGTACATAGACACATACAAGTATGTGTATGTGTTTGTACACACATATTACACACATGCATGTAGATATGTAAATGCATACACAGGGGTACACATATATTATGCATATATTTTAAATTCATTATTTTCTATAATAGTTGCTTTTAAAATGAACAATGGATTAATTCAGACAATGGAATATTAAATATGTACTTTTATGGGCCCTACCTACAATGCAAATGGTGATATATTACACTGAGGTTGTAGTTTTTTAATCACCCAATTATTAAAGAGTTATTAAAAGCCTGCCTTTTGTTGGTACTGGGAGGAACATTAAGATGACAAGATCCTTTTCCTCCTTAAAGAGCTCCATCCTTATAACCCGTCTCTGTTACCCTTTAAGGGGTAAACAGAAGTGTATCCATTGTCAAGATGCAATGTAGTAAGGAATTGAAATGGCAAAGAATCAGAAGAGACAGCAATGACTTCTTCCTTTGGCTCATAAGAATGGTTCATAGAGGGTGTAGCAGTTCAGCTGGAAGGATAAATGGTATTTGATTAAAGAAAAATGATCTGGATCTCTAGAACTAAGTCCCTGAGCCCTTCCCTTAGCCATGGGGCTAAAGGATGAAGCCAGCTCCTAGTTTGGATGGGCCTTTGCATGAAGCCAGCTCCTTCCAGTTGCCTGTTGCATACCCCATAGCTCTCTGGGGCTGGGAAGTAGAGTGTTGCTGGGGCACAAGTGGTGGCAAAGTAGAGGTATTTACTGTGAAGCTACAGGTGGAAAATATTGATGGGAATTACTAGCCAAAAAATTAAACCTAGTCGTCATTGCTGGGTGTCACTTACCTTATACAAAATGTTTTTCTCTGTGTAACTTAGCTTTCCTAGTAAACAGTAGAAATCAGAATTTCAGTTAAGTACCTCAGTAAATCTAGTTGTAAAATTCATCTGTAAAAAATCTTACTTTCTTTGGTTCCTGGAACATGTCAATTTTCTACAACAACTTTCTCAGAACTGAGAAGAGCTCACAATGGTCACTCCTGTGCAGCTGGTCATGGGATTCCAGAGCATTGATTCAGGGGAAATTTCAGCAGTAATTTGCTAAAAAGGAAGATATCCCCTGTCAATATTTTGTAAATAGTAAAAATAAATTCTAAAGAGGTCAGAGGACTTGCCCCGAGGCCTCTGGCTAGTGTGTGACAGAGCTCTGGATTTTGAGTCTACAACCAAAGCTCCCTCAGTAAAATGACAGGGTTGAGACATCATTTCTGGTCAAGGAAGTCTCTGGAGAGACAGTAGATGATTTTTCCAGGGAATAATTTCAGACTGCACTCTGAACTTGACTAAAATCTCAGGAGCCTTCTGGATTCTTACTCAAGTTTCCTGCAGAGTCACTCCCAGATCTCACAGCTAAATAAGCATGGAACTCTTACAATACAGTGTCTTTCCTCTTTTATGATAAAGAACTAAAATCAAGAAATACTTGACAATAAAACACTAGAGATTTTATACCTCCTTTCTTGAAGGCCCAGTGTGGACCTTCACATATAGGGAAGGATTTTATCCCTATATGGACACATTTTGATGGCCCTTGATGTACAGTGGTTGCTTGCATTTTATCCCCTTCTCTCTCCCTCCTTCCTTCTTACACACACATGAGCAACTAGTTCAGCGCTGTGTTCATCGCTAGGGCTGCCATAAGCAAAGCACCACAGATGGGGAGACTTACCCAACACAAACGTGTCATTTAACAGTTCTGGAGGGTAAAATCCAAGATCAAGGTGTCAGCAGGTTTGGCTTATTCTGAGGCTTCTCCCCTTCCCTCCAAGATGGTCACTTTGTTGTGTTTTCACATGTCCCTCTGTCTGTATCATAGGTCTAATCCCTTCTACTTTGAAGCACATCAATCATATCAAATTGAACCCACCCACCCAAATGATGCCATTTTCACTCTTTAAAGACTACCCTAAATACAGTCACACTGTGAAGTTAAGGAGATCAGGGATTTAACATACAAATTTTAGGGGTGGGCCACAATTTAGACTATAGCAAGGGCCTTACACTCTCCTTATTTTGTATTTTTGCAGTGCTTGTACCTATGGCAAGAACATTGACCTAGTTAAATTTCTTCTTGATCAAAATGTCATAAACATCAACCACCAAGGAAGAGATGGACACACAGGTAAGATGGTGACAACATTACTGGTTCTAGCTTTTTATCAATGCTCAAGTGCTGTGGCAAGGGATAAGGGCCAGTGGGAGTGGTCAACCCTAGTGGAGAGAGGTATTTTACCAGCTGAGATCATTTAAAATTGATGTGACTGGTGATAATGAAAAGAGACTGACTTTTGGTCAGTGTAATTATTGTGCTAAATTATCTACAGACTGAACCCCCTTAAAGCCGACACCAGGGACAGCACCCTGCCCTTGGTTTGGTGGTCAAGACCTGCTTGAGGTTGTTCTTCTTTTACTTGCACAGAGATGCTAACATTTTTTCTTGGTAATTACAGTAGATGTAGAAATACTAGAAAATGTACTGAGCAAAAGCCAGTTTGTATAGAGAATTGAGGGGAATAAAACACTTTGTTGGTTTAAAGCATTATCTTTTTTGCTCAATAGTAAAGCTAATTCTTCACCAAGGAAATCATTCATCACTTCCTATCTTGGAAACAATGCTAGTATGTGGTGATAACTGTATTTTGAAAATAGGGGTACAGTTTTTCTTTATTCTGCTTTGATTCTTTCCATTCTTTTCCATTATAGGATTACACTCTGCTTGCTACCATGGTCACATTCGCCTGGTTCAGTTCCTCCTGGATAATGGAGCTGATATGAATCTAGTAGCTTGTGATCCCAGCAGGTCTAGTGGTGAAAAAGACGAGCAGACATGTCTGATGTGGGCATATGAAAAGGGTATATTTTTAATCATTGCATCTCTATAGTGACGCTGTGCATAGATGATGGCAGTTCATCAATAAGTTCTTTGCTGTCGTGACTTGTCCTCCCTCTTTTCTTCTGTAGATTTTATCTGAGTCTCTGGGGCCTTGGCTCAAAGAGCCCAGTAGACCATCATTAGAGAAGGCAACTCTTGGGGTGCAGATGAGCTGAAGACATTCTCAGTATTTGTGCTTTAGAAAGGAATGGTCACATTTCTAAGTACTAGACAAACAAGATTTTGCTATGTAATGACAGCAGAGTGGACATTATCTCTTATATAGGGCCATTTTGATGCACTTTTGAATTTTACAAAAAGGGAATAAGAACAAAGAAGAAAAAAGGCACATTTGTCAGATTTAACCATGATGGCAACACCCAAGCTAGAGAATGTGAGGATTCCATTGATTCATGCTTAAGGATAAACGTACTTGAACTCCAAGTGGTAAGAGCTTAGACTCTAGAGAGAGAACACATAGGTTTAAATCAGCCATGTCCTCTGAACTCATGGAAATTATCTAAACTTGCTGAGATCCACTGTCCTCATCTGAAAAATAAGTATAACAGAGCGGCACCTGTGGCTGAAAGGAGTAGGGCGCCAGTCCAATATGCTGGAGGTGGCAGGTTCAAACCCAGCCCCGGCCAAAAACTGCAGGAAAAAAAAAACAAACCCCAAAACAACAAAAACAAAATAATAAGTATAACAGCAACTTCTCCTTCATAAGATTATGAAGATTAAGTGAGATGATATGTGCAAATTGCTTAGAACAGTGGCAGCCACAAATTAAATAACATGTAAGTGGCATTTTAGGCAATATAGAACAGCATATATTATCATCAAAATTATGGATTTATAACTGAATATTGTAAAATACGCCAAACTTAAAAAAAATTTTTTTAGTTTAATTTTTGATGACTGCATTGTATTTTTAAGATGTTTAAAATATACAAAGAAATATGTATCTTTTTGAGTGCTTGAATCTTAAAAGATCATCCTGAAAAAGGCAGTTACTAAGCTGTAAGATTTCTTACCCTACCATGTAGATTTAAGAAGTTTTCTCCCTAAAGGGGAAATGAAAGTCCATCAGTGTGAGGGGGAGGGAGTTGGACGGAAGGAATTAGAGTGCTATTGTAAGCACAGTAAGCACACAGACAAGGAGAAGGAAGAGCACCCAGGTCTGAAGGCTGCTAGTGGAAAAGTGATAAGGAATTGCTTTAAAAAAGACAAGTGAGTGGACGTGGAATATTAGACCATGAGCGAGATGTGGGCCTGCTAGGTTTTTTACTTTTTATTTATTTTAGTATCGTTTTAATACAGATACGTGCACATTTGCACATAATACACTTGGTCTTAGCCAAAAGGTCAAGAAGCGATACCTTGGTACATATATTATAATATGTATGATATGTATAATATGAATTTTCACAAACTCATCAACACCCAGATGAGGAAAATGACTGGGACCCTAGAAACCCCATTTCCACTCTCTTCCAGTGACTTCCCCAAGGAGGGCACCATTGCCTTCTTGTAGCATGGTTAGTTTTTCGTCTTTCTGCACTTTTATCGGTGGAATGATGTGGTGTGTCTGATTTCTTTGTGTCCGGCTGTCCTTGGCCAACAGCTTATGAGATTCATCCTTATCACCATAGCAGTTGTATACCACTTACTCTTATTGCTGTGTTATATAATGTTATGTGACGATATCACAATTTACTCATTCATTCTCTTGTTCATGGGCATTTGTATAATTTTCAGTTTGGAGCTATTAAGAATATTGTGCCATGGCCAGGCATGGTGGCTCACACTTGTGAGAGCCACTCTCACAGCACTCTGGGAGGCTACAGTGAGTAGATCACTTGAGCTCAGGAGTTCAAGACCAGCTTGAGCAAGAGGGAGATCCTGTCTCTACTAAAAATAGAAAAAATAGTCGGGTAGGATGACACAGGCCTGTAGTCCCAGTTACTCTGGAGGCTGAGGCAAGAGGATTATTTGAGCCCAAGAGTTTGAGGTTTCTGTGAGCTATGACACCATGGCACTCTACCCAAGGCAACAGAGCAGAGTGAAATTCTGTTTCAAAAAAAAAATATTGTGTCATGAACAATCATGACACAAATATTTAAGTACATGTTTGTTTTTTCTTTTTTTTACAGAGTCTCACTTTGTTCACCCTTGGTAGAGCGCCATGCTATCACAGCTCAGTGCAACCTCCAGCTCTTGGGTTTAGGCAATTCTCTTGTGTCAGCCTCCAGAGTAGCCGGAATGATTGGTGCCCACCACAATGCCCGGCTATTTTTTTCTTGCAGTTTGGCCGGAGCCAGATTTGAACCTACCACCCTCAGTATATGGGGTCAGCGTCCTATTCCCTGAGCCACAGGTGCAGCCCTACAAGTGCATGTTTTTAAATAAACGTATAATTACATTTCTGTTTGGTGAAAAGGCCCCCTATTTTGTATTTTAAAAATTCTAGGTGGCTCTATTTTTGAGTATCTGTTGGGGAATATTAAATATTCTGAAGTCTTGGGAGGCTCTACTAAATTCTACCTATTTAATACATTTCATTTATTCAAATGCTTTTCAGACAGTGTTCTCTTAAGAATGTAAGTGTCATGGTGTGACTGTGTACAAAGCATTAGTCTTCCAGAAGGCAACTCAGAATTGCTGCTACAGCTATCTCTTCATGGGGGTGGGCTCTGTTTATTTTAGTTGATTGAGGGTGATAGTTGAAAACTGGCTTTACTTTTATTTTTTTGTGGAATTCCACACTTTTATGAAACAGTGCATTAACACGTAAGCTTCTAAGATTTTCTACCAAATGACAACAAAGATCTTTCTGTTTAGAGGACTTGCCCACTGGCCTCTGCAACATATGCCATCTTTGTCACCCTTATTTGTTCAAACTAACGTGCCAGGCATCAGTGCTGCCTTCCATTATTACTATGAATTTTAACAAATTGAATCTTAGTAGTCAGGAGACAGATGGATGTTTTGCATATGTTCTGGGGCAAAGCAAGTCAAACAACAGAATGAAATTGTTGCTATTTTCTCTCACTAGAGAAATGTTGTGTTGTTTTCATGTGTTCAAAGAATATCAAAGTGGCCTTGTGATAAAGAAGGGCTTCCCTTTCTCCCTGAAACAGTCGCCACGTGACTCCTAAGGGTGTTAGCACCACACGCCATGCTAAGGGTTTTCCTGAGCAATGTTGAGAAGTTGAGGAAGCACTAAACCCCACGCTGAGTTCTTTTTTTATGGAAGAGATAACGTAAGAATGGCCCCCTCGGGATTTATCATGTGCTTTATGCTATCATGAATTTCCCAAGCAGGCCCTGCCTATTTGAACAGGAGTACATGTGCCCAATTTGAGTAGCTCGGCCTATTCCTGCCTCTTAATACAAAACTGTGCAGCGTTTTTCAATGCCTCTTGTTTCTCAATGGTTCTAAGCCAATTTTTTCACCCGACTCAAACTAAATTTTACCTGACCTTTCTGCTATTGCGTTACAGCCCCTTGAGGGGTGCTTTGGAGTTCTGGAAGAGTTATCTACTCTTTCTTGGAATACTTTTAGAAAGAGTACTCACCGTGGTTCCCAGGGGGATCAGATATGAAGAATTCTTGCTATTTGCATAGCCCTTTTCACCTAAAGGTATCAAAATCAATCTTGGAAATAGTTTTCCTGGTGTGTGTGATTCTATACAGAAGCCTACAGGTTACGTTTCAATATTTCTCTGCCAGACTGCTTAGAGCTCCCATTTTAGTGTTTAGACTGCTTCTCCTCCCCAAGTCTCACCCTCCTCTTCTTTTGTAGGACTCCTTCTGAAAGGTAGAATAGCTGTCTCTCTCACTTGAATTCGTTCTGCCCTTTCCCTGTGGTACAAAGGACTTGTATGAATCAATTTAAATTGGCCAGAGAAATAGCCAGCAGCCTGCTTATGCTCAAATCCTCAGCCCTAATCACCAGTCCAGAAAACCCATTGAAAAGACCTGCACGTAATCTTACATCCATTGCATTAAAGATGAAACTGCTGGATTGAAAAGATCTCAGCCAATTAGGATTGAACACATAGCTCAATAGTGTGTCTGGCAGTCAGGTTTGAAAAGGCCGCCTTTGGCAAAGAAAAGCACCCCTTTGTGTCATGCTGTTTAGGGTCAGAAAATAACCAAAACTAGAAACAGGACTAAAAACTTCTTGTTTGCTTCAGTACCGATGCCAGTTAAAGTAATTTACAGAGGCTCCCATCCCAACATCTAATTACCCAGAATACAATATTTGTATACAGCAGAAACAGCCTAATTCACAGTGACAGGGAAGTGGAGTTGGAGAATTAGTGAGTAAGTGAGCAAAAACAATAAAAATCAAGGCCCCTGGACCATGATATATACTTTGTTCATTCCTTCTGACAAGTGTAGTACGGTGTGAATTATTTATAGTAAATGTACTATAGTGTATTTTCTAAAAGTAATGAAGTCTTACATTTGTGAGTTTCTACAGTTTTTAGCCAATAAAAAGTGACTGAGAGATGAGAGTGGCTGAGAAGCAGAAGGAAGAAGAGGTAGATTCGTTAAATTATTTGATACATTTTCACCAATGGATTAGAAGTTCTCAGGCTTCTTTGATATTGAATTCTTACCTATTTTGAGTTTATTTATTCACTTGACTAAACTGTGTAGGGGACTCTGGGTGGGATTGAGGAAGAAGGCTGAAACAAAAGATTCAAATGACATTTCAAAATCCATATGTGATTTTTTTTCTCTGTATATTGGTCACATTTGTACATGTTTAGTTGCTTTCTTTTAAAAATAAATCAAATAACTCTTTAGATTGGGAAGAACTTTTTCTTGTTTATGGAGATTATTCAGAAAAATATTTTTGAAATATGGTAACTATCCAAGAATCCACTTTCTTATAATGGATAGAAGAAAGTTTACATTCTCCTATCCTATATGCATATACATGTATAATTTAATTATTAAAATAACCCTT